TTTTCCCGACTCGGCTGCCGATCTTCGTCGATCTGATCCATGTCGACTTCCGATCCGACTTGTTGCTTCGATTCTGGGCTCTCCTGGATGGGTACCCCGAGAAGGTCCCGTCGAACGGGGCTTTTGCTCGGAGGGGTCTCCCACACCACGCTTCTTCGCACTGCTGTGCTCGCTCCCGCGGATCCCAGTGTTGAGGTTGATGTCGTCGGGGTTGCGTCTGTAGCGACCTCCAGCTTCTAGGCTGGGCGCTCACGGCTTCTCGCACTGAACGCCTTTCTCGCACCCGCTGGTCCCAGCGTTAACCCATTTTCTCACGTGGACAGCGCCTGCTCACACTGCTCGCCCGTCTCGCACTGCATGCCCTGACCGCGTGCCTTGGCACACGAGCTGGTCCGAGCTGTGTGGCTGGCAACGTGTTGCTCCTGCTCCCCCCCTGTCGCACGCAGCGCATGCTGCCGCTGCTCGCCCTTCTCGCATGGACAGCTAATGTCACCACTGCATGCCTCTGCGCATAAGCTGACCCCAGCGTAGTAGCCGATGATCTTGGCATCGCTCGGACGTGTGCATTTTTCCTCCCGCGAGGACCATCGAGGAGCATCCTTGATCATTTGGCGAAAAAGCCACGCACGAAACCGAAAAAAACACAGGGAATGGACGTCCGAGCGATGGCCAGTGGTGCTCCGGTCCCGAGCTGGCCTCCTTGCATCGGCAGTGCCTGCTGCCGCCGCATGCCTCCGCGCCCGAGCTGTTCTCGGCGGTGCAGCTGAGGATGTCTGGCTCCTGCGCTGTTCTTCTCGCCGTGCCGTGGCAGCGGTTCCTTGGTAGGAGGAGGAGGAGGAGGAGGAGGAGGAGGAGGAGGAGGAGGAGGAGGAGGTGGAGGTGGAGGTGGAGGAGGAGGAGGGGCAAGCTCCATCGGAAGGTTAGTCGCCCACCCCGCGAGTAATGTGATTTGCCCCGAAAGTGACGTTCCCTTTCGAATCCGCGAAAAGTCGTGGATTCGGCCGGCTGTCAGTGGTGGCAGCTGGTTCTTGCGGTTCTTCGCCTCGAGAGGGTCGGCTGCCCCTGCCCTGCTTGGCCCCCGCGCCGCTCCGAACATTGCATGGCTGAATTCTAGCCGAAAGTGCTGTGCGTGGAGCCCCCGCGCTCGTGGAGGTCATGTTGCCACTGCTCAAGAAGAACAAACGCCATAAACATAAACTTGTGGCGCTCCGCGCGGACTTCTTGGATCCGCGCTGGCCTCCCCTCCGGCGGCGCCTCCGGCGCCGCCCCCGGCGTGCTCCGCGCGCCAGGGAGGGGGGTACAGCGCAGATCCAAGACATCCGCGTGGGCGCCCAAAGTTTCTGTTCCTGGCGTTGTCTCTTCTTCCAGCTGCCTGCTCCTTCCCTCTGCGGCCGAGCCGGCCGGCTGCCGCTGCGTGCCTTGGCGAGCGAGCTGATCCCAGCGGGGGAGCTGATGATGCTGGTCTCGGTTCGCCGCCTCGTGTTAGGTCGGGCATGTCCTCCCGCAGGCGGGTTTTGGAAGAGAAATGAAAATAGCCGAAAGAGATGTTATCATATTTCAAAATAAGCAAAGAATCGTCCACCAATTTTTTTAGTCCATTTGGGACATGCCCGACTCGAGCCTCGTGCCGACAGGCCATGCGATCGCTGGCGTCCTCCTTCGCCTCCGGCCCCGCCAGGTCTTCGTCGGCCGTGGTCCCGCCGCGACGCCCGAGCGTGGCAGACCCCCATCGTTTGAGGTGAGGGCGCTGGTCCGGGCCTCCTAGCCAGGGTCCGAGCACAGATGGGGTCGGAGGATCGCGCCACATCGGCGATGCGTCGACGATGGGGCTCGATGTGGGGCCCGGTTTTCCCGACGCCGACGTCGCGGACGACGTCGCTGCATCGCCGGTGCATCGCCGATGCATCGCCGATACATCGCCGATGCATCGTCGATGTGTCGGCGATGCGGCGCGATCTTCCGACCCCATCCACCCTGGCCCCATCCAGGAGGCCTCTCGTTGGGCCCCATTGGTCCACACGTCTCGTAGCGCCAGCTCCATTTCTACAAGGTTCGGCATGTTGACCGCCACAAGCTGGGGTCCCCCCCCTGCCCCGAGATAGAATGGCTTGGGAGGGCGGGAGGGAGGGAAGGACAATTAATGAGAAGGAGGAGGAGGAGGAGGACCTCCCTCCCCTCCCTCCTCCCTCGCCTCCTCGCTCCCCTGCATGTTCCTCCCTCCACTATTTTCGTTCGCCTCATTTTTCCTCTAAAAAGTGAACCTGGACCTGTCCTGGGGTGCATCCTGTTTCGTTCTTCAGAGACGCGTCCAGTCGGGGGCAAAAGGAGCCTCGTGGAGGCCCGGGAATGCAAGAAGATCAAAACAACAGACTTGGGCATCCGGAGGCGAGGTGTTGCTCGAAACATCGCCCCCAGGACCTCTATCGACCCCTTCTGTGTGGCCGGCTTCTCATCCCAAGCAGTTCCCTTACCGTCCTGGGGCCCGAAAGCAGCTTCCAGAGATCCGAAGTGACGACAAACACTCCCGAAGAAAAACAAAAAGGCCATGAACATAAACTTTGAGCGCTCCGCGCGGAGTTCTCGGATCCGCGCCTGGGCCCCCCTCCGGCGGCGCCTCTGGCGCCGCCCCTGGCGTGGTCCGCGCGCCAGGGAGGGGGTGAGCATGCTACGCATGGAATGAATTCAATGGAAATAAATCGCAGTGGATCCGTGAGTGGATCAATCTAGACTGATGAGGCTATGATGCCTCTTTTGATTTTGAGCCGGCTATGATGCCCGCTCGTGCCCACCCCGTCCCGTCTTCAGGGACTTCGCATCCTCCTATGATGGTAAGATGGGAAGACGGACCGCCGCCCCTGGCACTGCACGTACGGCGCCAGGTTTGTGGGGATTTGGTTCGACCCCCGCAGTTCCGATGATGGAAACTGCGAGGGGTGTGAGGCCTCATGGTGGTCCTCACTGGTAAGGCCTATGATGGTCCTCACCAGGGGGGGGGAGGGCAAGGGCGGACCAGGAGGAGGAGGACAGGGAGGAAGAGGAGGACGATGACGAGACAGTTGAGTTCAATGAACAGATTGAGCGCGAAGGCCTATGATGGTCCTTCTTCCCAAAACGAGCCTTGCTGATGGCCCCGAATTGGGTGCGAGGTGCCTATGATGGCCCCTCTGGTTGCCTATGATGGCGGCACTAGACGACCGGCAGGGGACTGGGTCCCGTTCACGGTCCATTAGGGGTGAGCATGCTACGCATGGAATGAATTCAATGGAAATAAATCGCAGTGGATCCGTGAGTGGATCAATCTAGACTGATGAGGCTATGATGCCTCTTTTGATTTTGAGCCGGCTATGATGCCCGCTCGTGCCCACCCCGTCCCGTCTTCAGGGACTTCGCATCCTCCTATGATGGTAAGATGGGAAGACGGGCCGCCGCCCCTGGCACTGCACGTACGGCGCCAGGTTTGTGGGGATTTGGTTCGACCCCCGCAGTTCCGGTGATGGAAACTGCAAGGGGTGTGAGGCCTCATGGTGGTCCTCACTGGTAAGGCCTATGATGGTCCTCACCAGGGGGGGGGGAGGGCAAGGGCGGACCAGGAGGAGGAGGACAGGGAGGAAGAGGAGGACGATGACGAGACAGTTGAGTTCAATGAACAGATTGAGCGCGAAGGCCTATGATGGTCCTTCTTCCCAAAACGAGCCTTGCTGATGGCCCCGAATTGGGTGCGAGGTGCCTATGATGGCCCCTCTGGTTGCCTATGATGGCGGCACTAGACGACCGGCAGGGGACTGGGTCCCGTTCACGGTCCATTAGGGGTGAGCATGCTACGCATGGAATGAATTCAATGGAAATAAATCGCAGTGGATCCGTGAGTGGATCAATCTAGACTGATGAGGCTATGATGCCTCTTTTGATTTTGAGCCGGCTATGATGCCCGCTCGTGCCCACCCCGTCCCGTCTTCAGGGACTTCGCATCCTCCTATGATGGTAAGATGGGAAGACGGGCCGCCGCCCCTGGCACTGCACGTACGGCGCCAGGTTTGTGGGGATTTGGTTCGACCCCCGCAGTTCCGATGATGGAAACTGCGAGGGGTGTGAGGCCTCATGGTGGTCCTCACTGGTAAGGCCTATGATGGTCCTGACCAGGGGGGGGGAGGGCAAGGGCGGACCAGAAGGAGGAGGACAGGGAGGAAGAGGAGGACGATGACGAGACAGTTGAGTTCAATGAACAGATTGAGCGCGAAGGCCTATGATGGTCCTTCTTCCCAAAACGAGCCTTGCTGATGGCCCCGAATTGGGTGCGAGGTGCCTATGATGGCCCCTCTGGTTGCCTATGATGGCGGCACTAGACGACCGGCAGGGGACTGGGTCCCGTTCACGGTCCATTAGGGGTGAGCATGCTACGCATGGAATGAATTCAATGGAAATAAATCGCAGTGTGAGATCAGTTCGCAGTGTGAGATCGCATGGAATGAATTCATGGAATAAATTCAACCGCGGATCCCAGAAATCCGCGCGGAGCGCCAAAACCTTATGTTTATGTTTCTTCTCCTAGAGATCCGAAGTGACGGCAATAACTTGCCGCCTGGATTTTCTGAGCCGCCAAGTGTCTGGGCGACTCGGACATGGCGCAGTGGCGGTGGCAGCAGGGGCAGGAGGCGGACGAGTAGGAGGTCGAACTCCGATGTGTGACCACATTCACCTCTCTCGAAGCTCGATTCTCCAGAAGCCACGAGGGGTTACGTGCTAGCTTCTCCCGTCCCCTGAGAAGGGGAAAGTCCCCACCTTCACTCCTTGAAACCGCCTGCCGGCAGCTCTGTTGGGAGGCGGAAGCGATCAGAACTCCAGTGCTTAGGAGAAGGAGGCAGCACCGAACGAAC